AGACTGTATTATTTTTAAATAAATGAATATGTAAAGAATTGTTTCTCTTTGGTTCGGGGGAGGGGTGTGTGTGACACACCAGCATTCTCCAAGTTTTTGTCATCAATGGTGTAAACAGTGGAGTTCCTCAGGACTAAAACTTCGCCACAGCAAGGACAGCCTTTCTGGATCTGGCTAGCATTGATTGATTGATTGATTGATTGATTGATTGATACCTGTTCCCCATCCTCACTCTAACTGGACCCTATGCAGTTTACAATATATGCCATAAAGTACAATAGAAGCAATACAATAGTATTAATATATATAAACACAATATCTCGATATATATTTATAACTAAGTCCTGCATCAGCTCTGGAATCAATTCTGAAAGACCTTCTGGAAAAGGAAGATGTTTTCAACTTTCCAGAATGCCATAAATGTCCAGGCAGTCTTCCTTTTGGAGGGTAAGTTGCTTCAGAGAAGGGGAGACCACCCAGATAACAGCAGCTATTGGGTCATCTCCCATCACACCTCTTGATAGGTGGGAACCCTGCGCAGGCCTTTTATGATTATCTGAATAGGGCAGGCACAATTAATCAAGGAAAGGCAACCTCCTGATTTAGTCTGTTCTTTGACTCTAACTCTTATCTTTGTTCTATGGCCCTGACACAAAAGGAAGGAGGAGGAAGAGAAGATGGTGGTGGAAGAGGAATTATGCTTCTACGATATGTATGCTTTCAACAGACATGCAGATGGCCCATCTATTGTACAGCTGTAAATGATGAAGGTAAAAGCTGCCCTTCCTTTCTTTGACCCAAAATATTCTACATATATGTTATTGTGAAATTGAGCTAAAAAAAAGAACACTGTAAATGAGTTGCCACTGGATGCTGCAAGCATGGTGTAGTTTCTGTAAAATGTAGATGTGGAGCACCCATTAATGAGTTTTTCCTACAAAAGCTTTCCATCAAACTATCTTGCATTTGATAGATATCCCAAGAATTATCACAGGCCATTTAAGGACAGCAGGTAGACAATCCAGCCCTCTTCTCTCTTCTCCATATACACAGATAGGATTCCCACATTGTGCTAAGCTATGATTTCTTTAACCATGATTTGTTAAAACAACCATCTGGAATCCAACAACATGATAAGCCATAAATCAAAGTTTACAAATGGTAACGGCTAACTGAAAGGCCCAAACACATGATGACTTCATGATGACATTCACACATGCTTAACCAGAGCAGTTGAAAATCTACTGGCTCCATGTGTACAATCTGCTTAGTGGTGGTGAGATTTTTCATGATTTCGCATTTTATGTAAATCCAATCCATTTGATTAAAGGCCTGGTGAGAACCAGAAAATGGGTTAATCTAGTAACCATGTAAGTTGTTGTACAAACACAGTGAGGTATGGGAGCCAAAGCAAACCCACTGTAATTCAGATCTCACGACCCATCAGCGTCATGAACAATGTTGCCAGTTTCCTACATACATGCAAACCGATTGCTCTGTTCCCTTTCAAGATAAGCCCATGACATAATGTGCAGGAAGGGAGAAAGAAGTCCTCTGATGATGCGCAACGGAATGACGTTTGTTCTAAGCAATTCAGCAGGACCCAAACCCTGGAGCAGAAGAGTGGTTGACTCAAGCTAGTGGCCAATGAGCCTTGGAAATCAAAGACACCGTCCAGAAAGGAAGCTACCTGCTGCTTCTGTGCGTGCTGGGTTGCTCTGCATTTGGCTCCAAAGGTAGCTGGATCATCCTACCCCTCCCAGTCCACAAAACACAGAAGAACTCCTGCTGTCTCGCTTCACAAGTTGCCATGCAGAGCACAGAATCACAAACACCCCACCGGGGCTAAGACATCAACTACAGTTCTGCTAATTTCATTACACACCAAAGATAATCCTTTTACGGCAAAAGATTGAAAACAGACTCAAAATTGCCCCAGTGGAGGGAGGGGAAGGAAGATAATCACTTTAGGGCAAGACATTCTGCATGAATCAGTTTCAGGTCTAAAGCAATCATCTCCATCCATGCACGTCCAAAAGCAGCTAAGATGCTCTTAAGCTATCACCAGGCCAAAATGGATTCACAGATCAAAAAGCATGATTCAAATAAAATCCCTGGTCAGGTTGCTTTCCAGCTGCTGTAAAATAGCCTCTCTGTTTGGCTGGACAATTATCCAGGTCTCTGCATTACTGGGGCATTTTGGAATGAATGAAAGATAAAGGGCGAGCAAAATGCCTTTGAAGTTCTATAGCAAGGAAAATGAATCAGTCTGTCAGAAGAAGTTTCTCATCTATTCAAGTCATGTTCCGGCCTGCTTCCGAGCATCTTGATCTGTCTGAACAATTTCCCAGGTTCTGAATATTATGAATTGGGCATTAAAACAGGCTGAGAGTATTTTTAAGAATGATCCCATTTTCAGAGGGCCTCTTCCCCCAGTGCTCCCATACACTTCCTTGGGAAGTAGAGTTAATCCGCACTTTTTACATTTTCAGGAAAGGATTAAGCCCACACCTTTCAACCAGGCCTCTTCAGTTGCCTGTTTTTATTTGGTTTTCAAAAATCCATATTTTATTTTATTAATTAACCTAAATGCCCAGTGGGCCAAAAGGTGGGGTATAAATCAAAAGAATAACTTGAGAAACAAACACGCAACAGAGAAGAGGAAGAAAGGGAGGAGGAATGAAGTCTTTCAGGGAAAGTCCTTAAAAGGCCAAAGAGCCGAGGCACCTGTGGGGTGGGGTCAAAAAGGTCAAGATGCCAGTTATGACCATGCAATGAAACCCCACCCCTTTTCATATACATCACGCATCAAAAGCAGCAGGGCTTTGAATACGCAATAGCGGCAGCCCTCTTGACTTTTTTGACACGCACCCATGGATGCTCCTGAAAAAGAGAAAACCATAACTGCCTAATGAGGACTGAAATTACTCCATGACCATGTGAAACTCTTAAGGGAATCAAATGAAAAACTAGGGAGAAGGGGGGATAGCATGGGGCACTGTGGGAAGGCCAGGACTGAATGACATGTTAAACAAAAGCAATTGACGAGGCAAGATATTCTTGCACTGGTTGGCATTTAAAGCAAGTTGAACCCTTATTCATGCCTATCCTTGCCCTGCCTACTTTCTGGAGTACACCTTTGGCATACCGCTCAAAAGCCAAGTGCAGATTTTTGTGTTAAAAAAAAAAAAAAAAAAA